TCCCGGCTGGCCCTCACCGAGTGCTCTCGGCAGACGCTGGAGGGTCTTCTCCTCCAGGAAGCTGGACAAGGCCTCAGCGCTGTGCCTCCAGCAAGTCAGCAGACGTCTGTCTCTGGGTCTGCAGCTTTGCCTGCCTGTGTGTGGCATCGCCGAGGCACACTCTGGCCTGGAGCAGGGCCGGAAACCTTGGCTCACCCCTGCTGGTGTGGCCCTGCTGCCTGGGCTCTGGGGAGGACGCAGCCGTGTCTGTCCCTGTGCTCCTTGTGCACTGAGCCCTGGAGAGGTTTAAAAGTCCCCAGGCGCCTGGACTGTGGGAACTGTTTAGAGGGGACTGTCTTTAGGTCGGGAGGTTGTCTCTCTTCCCACTTTTCACAAACGTGGTTTTTATTAACCCTAGCATGGCAACACTGAGTTTGGAATTGGGGGAGCTGTTGCCTCTTTGCTCCCGCACCTGCTGGGGACGAAAGAGACAGCTGGCCGCCCACCACTGGGCAGAGCTGGGACCTGCAGCCGGGTGCCTTGCTTGTGTGCCTTTCCTCGGGAAGAGGGCTGTGGTGGCCTCTGCCAGCTGGTTGTGGTGACCTGGCCTCCTCCCGGGCTGTGGCTCTGAGCAGAGGTGCCCTTAGTGTAATCGGGAGGCCGTGTCGAGAACTACGAGCGTCCGTGTCCTCCCTCCTGCTTGCAGAGTTTGGACCAGGCTTGGCAGAAGGCCACAGTTGCAGCATCGTCCATGAGGGTAGGCCACGCTGACACCCAGCAGTGGCAGGAAGGCTTAGAATGCAGTGACAGTGACACAGCACCCCAGGACATAAGAGCTCAGCCAGGAGCCATCCCTCTTGAGATTGCAGCAGCCTTTGCCGGGGGCACGCTGGAGTGGGCCCTGCGAGGTTTGCAAGCGTGTCATAGGTCCTCACCGCATACCCCTGTGCGCACGGGTCACCCTGCCCCCGCGCCTGTCACCTGGACTAACCAGCATCATGGGCAGTGGAGCAGGGGCCCAGCAGTCAGTCTTTGGGAAGGCGTGCATGTGACAGCACGCAGGTGTCCACATCAGAAGCTGGGCTGGTGGGATGTGCTGATGGCACCAATGTGGGACGGGAGAGGAGAAGGAGTTGATGGTGGCCCTGCATAGTGTGCAAACAGAGACTGGACTCTGGTTTGACGTGAGGAGGTGAGCACACCTGGGGGGGGGGTGGCGCTTGCAGGGGCACGTTTCAGAGTAAGGGTGCAGGGAGACGGTGTGAGGGAGAGCGCGGGACACAGACACTTGCCCTTCACAGGAGGGGCAGCCAGGTGGACCCAGGGCAGGCAGGTGGCTACACTGGGTAGTGGGAACAGGTGGACGACCACACAGAAACAGCAGTGGGAGCGTGCCCAGCCACCCAAAACCCACCGAGCAAGGAGCAGGACCCAGGGGCTTCTGCATTGTGTAGTTAGACTTCTTGTAGAGCCGACAGCCAGAAAAGACAACTTAGAACCAAGCAGGGGCTCAGGGAGATGTGAGCTCCGGCTTGACAGCTTGACCCATACATTGCCAGCTCTGTGTGTGTGTGTGTATACTGTAATACAAAGGCAGACTGTGTGTGTGTGTGTGTGTGTACTGTAATACAAAAGCAGACTGTGTGTGTGTGTGCTGTAATACAAAAAAGACTGTGTGTGTGTATACTGTAATACAAAGGCAGACTGTGTGTGTGTGTGTGCTGTAATACAAAGGCAGACTGTGTGTGTGTGCTGTAATACAAAGGCAGACTGTGTGAGTGTGCTGTAATGCAGAGGCAGACTGTGTGTGTGTGTGTGTGTGTGTGCGGTAATACGAAGGCAGACTGTGTGTGTGTGTGCTGTAATACGAAGGCAGACTGTGTGTGTGTGTGCTGTAATACGAAGGCAGACTGTGTGTGTGTGCTGTAATACAAAGGCAGTGTGTGTGTGTGTGCTGTAATACAAAGGCAGACTGTGTGTGTGTGTGCTGTAATACAAAGGCAGACTGTGTGTGTGCGTGTGCATGTGGACATGTGCCTGTGCCTGAGGTATAGTACAAAGGCAGGCTCTGTGTGCGTTTGTGTGCACGCGTGCAGGCTGTAATACAAAGGCAGAGGAGTGTCCCCTGCTGGAGAGGCTGCGGACTCTGCCCTGGTTGGTGGTCCTCCAGGGTCGTATTGCTGTCCTGGGAAAGCGTGCCCTAGCCCGTGCCCACATGAGAATGACTTAGTAGTTTTTGAGGCAAGAGTTGATTGATTCTAATACATTGTTTTTTATGTATAATTATTGAAATGTCTCTTTTCCATCTGAATTCCACATAATAGTAAATTTAGCTTTGCTTGTATGATGAAATATTTATTATTTTTTCTTTTTTATGTATTTATTTTTTAAAGATAGGCTTTTTTGTTGTTGAGGAAGATTGGCCCTGAGCTAACATGTATTGCCAGTCTTCCTCTTTTTTTTTCTTCTCCCCAAAGCGCCCCAGTACCTAGTTGTATATCCTAGTTGAAGGTTCTTCTAGTTCTTCTGTGTGGGACGCTGCCTCAGCATGGCTTGGTGAGCAGTGCTAAGTCCATGCCCAGGATCTGAACCCGCGAACCCTGGGTGGCTGAAGCAGAGTCAGGAACTTAACCACTCAGCCACGGGGCCAGCCCCGAAATGCTTATTTTCAAATGTGGGAGCAGGTGGGTGGCTGTCAGAAGGATGAAAATTGATCTGACTCCATAACCCCCCTCTTGTAAAACGCAGACACAGCTGCACACGTGTTGCTCCCTCATGGTGACGCTGACTCAGTGGCTTTGTGGGGGTGCATTGCACTGTGTCGAGCTGTCTTTGCTCAGGGGCACAGCACGGGGAGAGTCTCGGACCTTTGCAGCCAGGGTCCCAGCAAGGCCTGGGACACGTGGTGGGGGCCCTGTCGTGGAGGGTTTCCCCTCTCCTGGGATTATGAGATCTGGAAAGCTTTCTCTCCCTGTGTTGCTGACTCGCCTTGTCAGTGACACCTAAGGAGGTAAACGCCGTGGATGGCTCTGCCCCAGCATGCGGGTCGGAACTGCCTTTCAGTGAGGCCCAGATTCCAGGGAAGGAGGCCGAGACCCACATTCTCTTGTGGTCAGCTCATCACATCCCTGGGTTGGTCACCAGCCAGCTTCCCGGGCAGGAGGGGGACAGAGGCTCCTGCCTCTTCCTGTGTGTGGAGACGGAGGCAGGCAGGGTGGTGCAGGTGCATGTCCTTACCTGGCGCTGCAGAGCTGGCTGGGATGTCCAGGGGCTGTGAGGCGCCAAAAGGGACCGGTCCCGAGTCACCGCAACCTCGGCCTCCCTTGTCCCGCCGCCAGCAGTCCAGAGCACCCCCGAGGCGGCCACCCCCCCACCGCCCCCACTTCTCTGGGCTCCCTCCTGCCCTGCAGCCCCTCCCCCCACACCCACCAGGCAGCCTTGCACCCAGAAGCCAGCCACTCCCTCCAAGCTCCAGGCCGAGGTTGGGGGGCGCGTAAAGGACGCTGGCAGCGAGTTCGGGAACTTGAACTTGTGCTTCGACACTGGTGATCTTTGGCATCGCTGCGGATTTTCTTCATCGAGACCACAGTGTGTGGTCACGCAGGAGAACGTTCTTCCAGAGAGATCCACGCAGAAGTGTTCAGGCGTGAAGGGTCATGGGGTCGGCAGCTACTTTCACGTGGTTCCACCAAAAACAGCGTGTGTGTGTATGTGTGTGCGTGCATGTGTGTGTGCGTGTGCACTCAGACACAGAAAGATGGAGTGTGCATGCCAGTGCTGGCAGCTGGGAATCTGGGTGAGGGGCCCTCATGTCATTGTCCTGCTCTTTCAGCTGTAGACTTGACACTTTTCAAGATGAAATGTTGGGATTACAAACGCCCGCAGTGGCTCGACGTCTTTCCCCTCTAGGCAGGCCCTGTCTGCTCTTCCCTGACTGCCCTTGGCCACAGCGGGCTCCTCTGCTCGGCAGCTCTGTCCACCGTCTCCCTCGGTCCCTCTTTCTCCACTTTGTCAAGCATCACCATCTGCCCCAGGAGTGTGTCTTGGCCACTGGGATGTGAGCTCCACGAGAGGAGGGCTCGTTGGTCTGTCAGATCTGAGCTATAAAGGTCTAATCCACAGACAGTAATAGTCATCTTTTTGAGGGCATCATTCAGTGGGTTTTAACAAATGTATCATTTTGTACTCACCACCACAGTCCTGTGGTAGAGTATGTTTATTGCTCGAAAGTTCCCTAGGTCCCTTGTTGGGGTTGTCAGATGTAGCAAAGGAAAAGAATATATATGTACACGTATACACATATGTCTCTATATAGACATGAATACACACAGAAATCTTTATGTATATATATATACACACATACACACACACGAAAAACACGAAGTTCAGTTTGAATTTCAGATAAACAACAAGTAACTTTTAGGGTCAGGTGTCCCATGCACCCTCCTTTGGTGGCCCTTCCCAGCCCAGCCCGGCCCATGCAGTTTTGCCTTTTCCTGGATGGGGAAAGCAGGACTGGACCTCCACACCCAGAGTAGCTCCTGGCCCCAGGCAGGCACTCCATGGCTGCTTGTCCAGTTAGTCCCTGGAGGGGCAGGCCTGGCTCGCTCCCCAGGACATGATGATGCAACTCAGTCCTGAAAGGCGAGAAGGTGAGAGGGAGGGAAGGACAGGGCAGAGACCAGCATGTGGTGGCTCTGGTGCGGGCCACGGGTGGAGCAGGGACGGCCGGACGGCCTGTGGCAGAGCTGAGGGTCCGAGCCCTCCCGGCAGAGGTGGACAGTGCTGGTCGTGCGTCTGTGGGAGGGAGGGCCGACTGCGCGGTTGGCCCCACGGCTTGAGCTCCAGGTGTTTGGGTGTCAGTAGGTGCTGTGGTTAACATCTCGAGTCTGAGGGACTGTGATTAAGTTACAAGCAGTTAAAACCCTTATTCTAGTTGAAAAGAGCTTTTTATTCGCTGCTTACGTGGCTTTAGAGGTGTCCCAGGCCCGGCTCACTCGATTTCTCTTTTTGCTCTACAGGCACTAGGAAGCTTTTATTTTCTGCACGAATCCTTAAAAAACATCTACCAATTTGACTTTAAAGGTAAGACTCCATGCTGTCCCTTGGTGGTAGGCCCCCACCCTCTGCTCGGTGGCCTGGCCTCTTCTGGTCCCTTCCGCCCAGTGCCCCTGTGGGAGGGCCAGTGTGGGCTGGGTTTAATTGAGTCACTTGCCGGCAGTCACTAACCAGGGATCTGCCCCGGAGACTTCCCACTGCCGCGCCCCTGCCAGCTCTCCTGCTCCAGGCCAAGCTCAGGCCGTCCCGTGATCAAGTTACGAGGAGAAGGAAATGGTTTTGTGTCTGCGTCCCTATCAAATGTGAGAAAATAGAAAACAGAATGGGAGGATGGCTTATTTCAAAAGTAAGCAGACGAGAGCGTGTTTGGGGCAGAAAATGTTGTCCCATATTAAATGGGCAAACCTGCGTGTCTGTACTGAGAAGATTTGCTCTCAGATGCTCCCGATGACACAGCCTTCGTCTTTGCCTGGGGCATTCAAGTCTGTCACCCCACATCTGAGGAGTTTCCGTCCCTGCCCGCCCAGTCTGCGGGGTGCTCATGTGTTTCTCTTCCGTTGGAGATCGTCTCTTCATGTTACGTGTGAATTCCTGTGAGCTCCATTTGGGCTGCTGAGCCAGATCACATTAATTTGAAATGTCATTAAAGTTGTAATAACTGTGGAGAGCAACTGATTATGTCACTGTGTTCAGATTCATTATCTTTGCTCGCTTGGAGACAGATCACCTCTTGCGGAATGGAGAAGCAGAGTCTTCTCCAAATTGCTTGAGTAGTGATTCCATCAATGTTGAAAACAGGATCCCGGCCAGCAGGGAACTTCTCGCTGGCCTGTTACCTGGGGATCCTTCACGTACCGTTAAACATGAGCACCTGGCTTCCCACTGAGGAACTTGGTGGAATAGTCAGGTGGACTTGGCAGGAGACGGGCCAGAGGCCGCTCTTCCCACGATCTTAATAAACACTGGACATCAGTGTGTTGTGTCCTCAAGCAATGGAACTGAGAGTGACCGTGAGCAGAGGGGACATGTTCAAACACAGCGTGTTCCAGGGGAAGCTGGAGCAGGCCAGGGCTCCCCTTCCAGGAAGGCTGTGCCTGGAGCTTGAGCTCGCCCCAGATCCATTGGACTTCTTTTGTGAGTAATCCTTTGCATACATATCTTATTACTAAATCAGATCAGTCATAAGTACCTGGCTCGCCTATGGTTTGTTTAAAACTGTATGTTAGACGTACGTTTGACTCCAACAAAACTTTACCCAGGGGCCTCCACAGTATCAGTGACAAGGAGTGTGACAATGATGGACAGTGGACAGGTACTGAGCGCTCGCGCCCAGCAGGGGTACGCGTCAGTCCTGACAGCTCTCGCAGTGGTCCGGGACGTGGTGTTCCTGCCGTCCTGCGGCACGGGCGTGTGGTGCGGGGCTCGGCCGCCTGCCCCCTGCTCTTGGAGGCTCGCTCTCCTGCCTTGAATTGAGTTACAGCAAAAGCAATCCAGAATTTGTGAAAAGTTTGAATAAACTTTTTAAAAAGAAATAGCCTGAATTTTAGCGAATAAGTATCTAGTTAGAAATTTAAGGACTCCCAAAAGGTAAAGGTGAAAGGGGTGAGAGGGACTTCCAGGCTCCCATCCAGCATGTGAAGAGCTCGGAAGTTATGGCTTAACATCCTCGCGAGAAAAAAGCCAAACATACTGAACGTAGGCAACTCTTCTTAGAGCCCCCCGAGGAGCGAGGCCACAGGGCACGCCACTGCCCGCAGGACTGGAGAGAAGACGGGCTTCCCCAGAGAGTCGGAGCTGACCGGGAGCAGAGGCTGCTGCTGGAGCTGCCCTGCCAGGAACAGCCAAAGGGTGTTGACCCCACGCTGGAGGCCGGGTGAGGACTAGCCTGAGAGAGATTCCCGGGCCCCAGCTGTGGGGCCCCACACTTTCGCGAGTTGCCTGCAGGAGCCCCACCATGTGCTCGTGGTGAAGATCAGAGAAAAAGCCGCTTGTGCTCCTGGCAGAGGGGAGAGGAGCTGTTTAGAAATATGCCCAGCACGTCCTGTTCATAAAGGCCTGCCCTCAAGGGAGACCACTCACCAGAGCCCCACCCACGGGGGTCCTGCCTGGGCCTAACCGAGGAGGGAGGGAAGAGGAAACTCCAGCACCCCGAGTCTTCTGTCGCACTGACATGGGGTACTGAGAAGCGTGCGTGACAGTCACAGCCCAGGGCACATGCTAAGTGAAAGGTCGAGACCTAATCATTCTACCTAATGTAGAATGTTTTCCTCCACCACATCGTGGCGTCGAGCTGTTGGGATGGAAAGCCCTGCAGAGCTCAGACTCCGCTGGAGAAGGAGTCTCACAAGAACACGGACACTGGAGGATGCTTTAGCCTCCAACGCCTGCAGTGGACGCAGCCCAGCTGCTCGCCAGGTAAGCATGAAGCCTTGCACAGAACTCCTCGCTACCTCAGCCCTTTTTACCCAATTGTTCATGTTCTGCTTTCAAGAAAAAATTACAAGCCATGCTAAGAGGCAGAAACATGATCTGGAGAGAAAGTATGCGTCAGGACCAGACTGGAATGTGGCAGAGATTTGGAATTTTCAGACTAGGAATTTAAAATAACCGTGATTAATATGCTAAGGACTGTAATGGAAAAAATGGATAGCATGAAAGAACAGACGGGTAACTTAAGAGGAACCATAGAAACTAAGAAAGAAGCAAAAGGAAAAACTAGAAATCAAAAACAATGTAACAGAAATGGAGAATGCCTTTGATGGACTCGTCAGACTGGACATTGCTAAAGAAAGAATCAGTGAACTAGAAAATATGTCGTTAAAAATCTTCTAAATTGAGAAGCAAAGAGGAAAAACGAAAAAGAACAAAACGTCTAAGAACTGTGGGACGGCTACAAAGCAGTAGCATGTGCGCAACGGGATGCCAACAGGAAAAGCGGGAGGGGGAGCAGCGGGAGAAATACTGGGAGTAATGATGGCCAGGAATTTCCCAAAATTAATAATTGACACCAAACTACGGATCTTGGAAGCTCAGAGAACATCAAGCAGGATAAAAACGAAACAATCTATACCTAAGCACATTGTATGCAAACTGCAGAAAACCGAAGATGAAGAGAAAATCTTGAAAGAAGCTGGGGAGGTGGGCAGGGGGACACGACATCCCTTCCCTATAAAGGAACAGGGATAAGAATTATATCCACCTTCTCTTCAGAAATCAGGAAAGTAAGGAAGATGGTGTGAAATATTTAAATTGTTGGGGGGAAAACCCCCACCAACCTAGAATTCTGTATCCAGCAAAATTGTCCTTCAAAAGTGAGGGAGAAATAAAGACTTTCTCAAACAAAAGTTGAGGAAATTTGTTTCCCATAGATTTGCTGAAAGAAGTTCTTTGTTAGAAGTTCTATGACAGAAGGAAGATGGTATAGGTCAGAAAGTTGGCTCTACATAAATAAAGATTGTTAGAGTAGGAATAAAGATAAAATATTTTCTTCTTCTTTTTTTTTTTTGAGGAAGATTAGCCCTGAGCTAACATCTGCCGCCAACTCTCCTCTTTTTGCTGAGGAAGACTGGCCCTGAGCTAACATTGTGCCCATCTTCCTCTACATGTGGGACGCCTGCCACAGCATGGCTTGACAAGTGGTGCTAGGTCCACACCTGGGATCCAAACCAGCGAACCCCGGGCTGCTGAAGTGGAAAGCACAAACTTAAGTGCTGTGCCACCAGGCTGGCCCCTATTTTTCTTATTCTTAATTGATCTAACAGATCACTTTTGTTCACAGTATTAAGAACAACAATGTGTCAGGTGACTGTTGATATGGATCAGTGAAATGAAGGACAGAAATGTTATAAGGGATAGGAGGGGGAGTTGGGAATGCTCTGTTCTAAGGAACCTGCACTGTCTCTGAAGGAATGTAGTGCTATTTGAAAGTGGACTTGGGTTAGTTGTAAATGTGTATTGCAAACTCCAAGGCAAGCACTAAAAAATTTTTCAATGAAGTATAATTGATACACTGCAAGTAGAGAGAAAATAGAATTATATATAATGCTCAATTAAACCAGAGAAGGCAGAAAAGAGGGGAAGACAACAAAGCAACAAAGAACAAAGACAATAATTAGAAAAGTTCCAAATAGGAAGGTATTAGCTCCAGCTGTATCAACAATCACTTTAAATGTGAGTGGCCTAAATACACAAAAGAGACTGTCATAGTGATTCAAAAAAAATACCCAACTGTGTGTTGTCCACTAGAAACCCACTTAAAATATATAGACACATAAAAATTAAAAGTAAGTGGATGGAAAGAGATATACACTGTTAACACTAATCAAGAAAAGCTAGAGTGGCAATATTAGTTTCAGATAAAGCAGATTTCAAAGCACAGAAAGTTATCGGGGATAAAGAAAGCCATTAAATAATGATAAAGGGGTCAATTCTCTAAGAAGACATAACAATCCTTAACTTGTATGCACCTAACAACAGAGCATCAAAATACATGAGGCAAACACTGGTAAAACTGCAAGAAGAAATAGATGGATGCACTGTTAGAGTTGGAGACCTCAACACCCCCTGTCAGAAATGGACAGACCCAGCTGGCAGAAAATCAATAAGGATGTAGTTGAACTCAACTTCATCATCAATCAACTGGATCTAATTGACATAGACCACCTCATCTAACAACAGCAGAGTGCACCTTCTTCTGAAGCTCAAGTGGAACATTCACCAAGATAGACCACATTCTGGGCCGTAACACACATCTTCACAAATTTAAAAGAATAGAAATCACGCAAAGTATACTCTCGGAGTACAATGGAATTAAACTAGAAATCAATAACAGAAAGCTTGGATATAAAACAACACACTTAATAACACATGAGTCAAGAAGTCTCAGAGAAATTTAAACATATATTTAACTGAATGAAAATGATACAATTATCAAAATGTGTGGGGTGTAGCAAAAGCGGTGCATTTACAGCATCAAATACGTAAATCAGAAGAGGTAAGATAAAATCAATAATGTAAGCTTCTGCCTT